TAAAATGTTTACGAACTCAGACTAATAACAAAATACATCCCTGGAACCAGCAGAGGATCCGCTGGGCGCTGCCCGAATCTGAGCTGGGAGACCCCGGATCCGAGTGGAGACACCCCTCCAGGGCCGGGGCGGGCCGTGTCTGAGTGCAAGTGTCCATCTGAGCGCATGGCCCTGCACGTATGCAGGTCCACACAGGCGTCCACGGGCGCAAGGCTGGGCTCAAGGTCCCCAATCAGAGGACGGGTCCAAGGCCCCACAGTGGTCCTTGAGGAAGAACACACACGGTTCTCTCCCCCCAACTCAGGCAGGGCCGTCCGGCCTCAGGCCTCGGCCACCTGGAGGTAGCCCGTGCCCCCTCACCCTCGGACGACCCTCCGTCCTGGTCAGAACCCCTCACCAGCTCCCACTGCCACCCCACAGGCCATGCTTTCCTGGTGCGGGCATGAGCCCATCCCTGGACTGGCTACAACCTTCCCCCATGGCACCTGCACCGGACGTGATGCCTACGCAGCCCTGCCCATGCCAAGTGCCTGAGTGGGGCCCGGCCCCGGGGGACGGTCGAGGGACCCAGGCCCCGTCTCCCAGGTCCCTCACCTCCAGAGCAGCCGGCACACCCTTTGCAGCCACCTCAGCCAACAGTCGCCTCCCAGATACTCTTATTCCTCAAGAAACAACTGCTTTTCTAGTCCCCTAGTCGCCCCGTCCGCTGCCTACGCCCACCGGGTCCGGAAGAGCAGGAAGGGGTAGGGGAGAGGGTTCTCTGGGCAGTGGCTCTGGGCAAAGCTGTGCTCACGGGGATGGGCTGGCTTTTCCCGTGGATCCTGTGGGGCTCACGTCCGGGCAGCGCCTTCTTTGCTTGGGCCGCTAGGAAGCCCCCTCTGCCGGCAGCTCCTGCCTCTGCCCAGGACCCCCCCACACACACTGTGCCCTGGGGAGCCCAGTTCTTGCCCAGCCAGGGGAGGAGGAGAGGTGCCCAGGCTAGGGTGTCCAGCAGGGCCCTGGGAAGGAGCCCAGGCTGCCTGGGGCAGGAGGCTGGGCAGGGAGAGGTGACGGGGCCCAGTGGCGGCCGTGAGAGGAGGAGCCGGGGGAGGAGAGGGGGCTTGGGTCAGAGTCAGGAAGATTCCAGAAGCCCCGCGGACTGTGTGGCAGGATCCCCCCCACACAGACTGCTCTCTGGGCTCGGCTGCCTGTCCAGTGGGGCTGACGGCACAGTTGGGGAGACCCCCAGATGCGGGCGTCTGGGCGCCCCAGGAGAGGCCTAAGTCCTGGGCACCAGCCAGCAGTCACTCCTGTGTGTCCTCCGGGTAAGGAAAGGGCCTGAATGGCAGCTCACCGCCCCGGCCCCCTTCCCCGGCCCCCTGCGTCCAAA